TATATATATATATATATATATATAAGAAGGGATTACAAATTTTGCGCTCGAAAGTATCTCGTTTGACAATCATGGATTTCAAGAGGATGAAGCAAAGAAGATCAACACAGCAAATCTGAGCGCGGAACAAGTACAGCACGAGTGCAGTGGAATGCGATCAAGCGCCAAAACTAATAAAGCAAAAACGGATATTGGCCTCCACACTTTATTTTTTTAATATATGCATATATATATAGATAAGTTACATTGACATGCAATTTCGTGTCTATTGTAGTGTGTGTTAATATGCTTGGAATTTTTACTATTGGTTTATTTCTAATGAACGGACTTCTATGACAGGCTGGTGATATTGTTCTCGTTGAGAATGTAGAATTTCTTACTAGGAATTATGTTCTTAGCCAAGTTCGATGGCTTTCTTCAAGATTTAGAATTATTTACTTCAACAAAAGAAAGCATATTCTTTAACAGAATTATTAATTATTACTTGGTACCATGGATATCATTAAGCTTTTTCACTCGAAAGTAAGGCAATGAAATTGGGGTATTTTGTTTTCGTTGTTGTGTTTAGTGAGAAAATTATCCGTGAAACTAACGTAGATAAATATCTTGACTGTTTACTAGAAAACTTCTTTTCTTCTACATCTGCTCTTTTTTCAGTATTGGTCACATGAATATTATTTCTTGTTCGGCAGTAATTTCATTTGTTACATTTATTGTGGTAAATTTAGAAATTGTTCAGTTTGCTTTACAGTTCATTGTAAGATATGGTCAAGGATTACTTTCTGATTAAATTGTATTACTGAACTCACTTGATTCCTTTAAGAGTGACATTTTGGTGTTAGTTTATCATGTATGTGTGAATAATTTCTAGCAGAAATTATATAAACTTTTGCAATGGTTCTCCATAGATATTCCGAATTTTTATCAATACTATGTCACAGTTTTTTACTCATTCAGAATGGGAATGTTCCTAATACAACAGTTCAAGAAACTGGAGAGTATTCTTCAGTAACCGAGAATACGGTGGTGAAACCAGAATTATCGGCTTTTGAAGCAGATGGATCTGATTTGAATGAACTGAAATTAGTAAAAGAGTGGACTGAATCGGTGAAGAAATCGGATAGGCAGCGTATGGATGATATCCATTATTTTTCAACTTTTTTAGCGTTTTGTACTATTTTTGTAGAATTGTATAGCATGCACTCTGTATCAAGGTTATGACTGAGACCATAACTGTTCAAGCAACAGTTTTTAAGTTACAAAAATTTGTTTCTAAGCTTTTTTAAAAGAATGAAAAGTTTAAATGTTTGGAGTAAGCATTTTTTTAAATAAATAACTGACTATAATGTAAAAGTTTTGAAATGAAAAAAACGACAATTTATATAATAAGTAAAAAGTAGAATAAGTTAAAAGATACAAATTTCGAGCTTCAAATTAAAAAGTCTGTAATACATTTAAATTAAATAAGTGGAAGGGGAATACCTATAACT